CGTGTCGACCTCTTCCATCCTCAGCTACCATGAAACTCTTTCCATTCGTGCCCACCAACGAGTCGTTGAACCTCAGGCATGTTTACCCTCACATCCCAAATCCACCTCCAAGAGCGTGATCGAACAGTTGTTAGACATCCATCAACCTGAAAACTCGAATCCTCACCCCTAACGGACTCTGATCCGTAGTCCTCCCCCTTTATCCTTCTTGTACATAATCTCCACCCTGTTCGTACACTTATTTTAATAAAAAGTGATATCTGACGTTGATCAATTTGGTCCCAGCATTTTAGGTGTTTTAGAGGTCGAGGCAATATCTAGCAAGATTCCGTATTACGGGCGCTGTACTATGTCCATAATACCTTTTGATAAGTCATAGAGTTCTGGCTTATTTTTGACTCAAATAAGCGCAGTGCTAACTACACTGCCAGACTTCTCGAACGCTTTTACTATATATTCTCCCCGGACGTGGGCAAAAGTTGGCAGGTGTTTTGTTCCTTTGGACAAAAGCATTATTGGATTACTTAACTTGGAGGAATAGGGATGCAATCGATTTTAACTAGCTCCCCAGGAAGTCGTTCGTATTCGGTACTAGTGTCATGAGTTACCGCAGCTCACGGAATATATTGGGCGCATACTAGCCAGCGTCCTCGACAGATGCTTTTTAGCTTTTGTGCAATCGATGACGTACATGGGAACCTGGTCCAGGAGACCGTCTATCCAGTCGTCAGCTGTAATACTTGGAGTGCATCCTGAAGTAAGCTATGTCCGTCGTGCGCATCTTCCCCATGCTGCTAAGGGGGTGTTCTGTCCATCGCAGCCTTGGAGCCTCCAACATGTATTTACGGACGACCATTTCCACACAGACCCAGTTGCTTAGTCACTGGTAGTTTTTCCTGGTTACGGGACGCTGTACCCCCAAAGAAGCTTATCAGGAGTTCAGTTTTTCTTGATGTACTCTTCTCTAGTTAACTGGATTTTCAGCACGAGACAGGCACAGGACTTATGGAGGATGACGTCAGCGAAGGGCACGTCTTTGTACCTACAGGGTAACTGACCCAGGTCGTACCATTTATCTCCGTTCGGTGCTGCCTTACAATCCTCTGGATCTATTCTGTCGTCAAGGCCACGGCGTCATTCGAGAACACCCCTTTTCAAAGATAGCCTATCTTCGCCGTACGCAGAAGCCGCACATAGCAGCCGCAAACCAGAACTGTTCTCGTGGCCGTCTCTCCCGTTGAACCATGAAGTTAGACTGCAAACTCCAGAGACGAAATGCCATTCTGTGTGTAGGTAGTTAACGCATAGGAATGTTCTAGTAAAAGAAGCACCATATTTCATGCTGGGCCGGGAGCTTTTTAAGAACTTCGATTTTCGCAGCGTCAAATCTGCGGTAGCGGCCGAGTGTGTGTTCGACCATCGACTTCGACGAAGGCCAGCGAATGCAGCAACAGGTTGGTACAGAAGATGGAAGTCTCAGGGGGTAGATTAAAGTGTTAGCGGACGTAATTGGCGCCAACCGCACTCTTCACCTTCACCAAGGGCCAAGAAGACGAAACGGAACCCGGTGTTTGCCGCTTTCTCCAATGCAGGCCAGAAACACAGCCTAACTTAGTCTCA